GTGAATTTAAAGAAGAATACATGCTCTCTCTCATTCCAGAATATGTATTCCTTTTTCCAAATTAGCTTAATCCACTTTGGAAGTGGGTTGAACCAGAAAGCGCACCAGGAGTTATTCCAAAGTAAGTAATTCCTCTTTAAATTCACACTCTACCTAAATCCAGAATAACACTCGACAGCAATCCTAGGGATCCGAGGACAGACGGAGGAGTAAAACCTAGAGAGTGAAGCTGAGGCATGGAGCTGTCAGCAAAATTTACACCAAGCTGAATCCTACAGCTCAATAGAAGCCCAGCTTTTATCGAGATGGTTTATGTTTAACTAGACAATATATGAGTCCTGTTCCCTTAACTAATTTTCCTGGTGCCGTAACTGACAAAGCATTAATCGTCCCCTGCCATTATTTATTTATTTTCTCCGGCCATGCTGTGACAGGACACCTTATTTTCTTCGTCAAATGCCATTAGCCTCGGCACAGGCATACAGGCTGCAGAAGACCGATGCTGGTAATAATCATGAAATTCTCATTATTTACCATCACTTCCATCGTGTTTCAGTTATTTATGTCCCGTGGGCACGGCCAGAGACTGTGGGTTATTCTGACAGTTAATCATAAAAATGCAATTGTTGTTAATAGTCGCTCTGTCTCTCTTCGTTTCGCCGGCTCACCCTCCTCTGCCCCCCAGACACATTCCGCCTCGCCCCGCATGCTCTGCCTCTGGTTTGTGGGAACGAGTGTGGTCATGTGGATTGGGAAGGGATAAAGTACTAGAGAAAGACAGGCCCCAGGCCAGGTTCCCCAGTGTTCTGAGATCTACCAGCTCTCCTCTTCCTGACCCACAGCTCCCTGTGGCTCCTGATCCTGGGCTCCCACACGCAGCCCTGGCAGTGCACCTCTGTCCTGCTACTTCCCCAGCTGTTCCAGCCTTGGGCTCCATGCAGCTCTGCTGATGCCTCTCAGTCCTGATCTGCAGCCAAACCTGCTATTCCAGCCCTGAATTCCCACCCACCCAGCTCTGCTGGTTCCCCTCAATCCCAGCCTACAGCCACCTCTGCTGCTCCAGTCAGGGGACCCAGCCAGGCTGCACCATTTCGGAGCACTTCAGACTGCTCCCTGCTGGAGCCCTTTTGTGATCACTAGGATCAGACCAACAACCTGATTTTCACTGTGGCCCAAGGCACAAACCCCAGGTCTCCCTAGGTGACCACGAAACACTCCATGGTCTCCTCTGCTTTAAAGTGGAATTGAATTCAGGGATGGCTCATTGGCCTTGGCGCTTCAGCAAAGCTGATGCAGTCCTCACACCACCATGCACATTGTCCTTGCCAACGTTCCCGGTCCCCCTAGAGCAGGGGTAGGCAACTATGGCATGCATGCCAAAGGCGGCACGCAAGCTGATTTTCAATGGCACTCACACTGCCCGGGTCCTGGCCACCGGTCTGGGGGGCTCTGCATTTTAATTTAATTTTAAATGAAGCTTCTTAAACATTTTAAAAACCTTATTTACTTTATATATAACAATAGTTTAGTTATATATTATAGTCTTAGAGAAAGAGACCTTCTAAAAACGTTAAAATGTATTACTGGCACGCAAAACCTTAAATTAGAGTGAATAAATGAAGACTCGGCACAGTACTTCTGAAAGGTTGCCAACCCCTGCCCTAGAGGAAGGGTAGGGGTGAGGGATTCACTTCCACGGGCCGTGCACAGGATGGCCTCTCCACTGCGACTGCTGACAGATACTAACTAGGGACAACTGTGTTGGCTTTGGCCCCATGGGGTACCTCCCTTGCAGGAAAGGCACTGCGACCCATTTCCATGGAGGCCTCTAGGGTGGGTTGAAATGTGGATTCTCAAGGCTGCAAGAAATTGCGACATTTACAAATTTCCCTTTGTCCCGAATTGGAATGAAAAGTTGAAATTTTAAAAATTTCCTGGGAAACAACATTTCTGAAAAATTCTGCTTCAGGAACCTCAAAACCACCTTTTTGCATGCCTCATTTTGACTTTATCCTTTCGGCAGGGATGCCAGAACAGAGTGGGCCAGGGGACCATGGTCCCATCACTTTTTACCAGCCATAAGGGCAAGCAACGGGGGGGTAGCGGGTAGAGAGGAGCAAATGGGGGGTGAGGCCTTGGGGGAAGGGGCAGTGTGGGGGCAGGGCCTCAGGGGAAGGGGCAGCACATGGGGCGGGGCCAAGCTTTGGGCACCATAGCTGTTAGTCTCTAGCACTATATGGACCCACCGGTTTGATTGCAATTAAGATGCCAGAAATATATTTCCATTCACAATGAAATCAGCACTAGGAAAAGGTTGGCTCTTTTATTTGAATCCATTTTGTAAGGGATTATTTGCAGTTATGCATGTCTTGATCATGCTAATGATATCTCCTGCGTCAGGACATAAGGGATTCACTGGGGCATTAGGAAGAATTCACCCCAGTATTGCTGGTGGAAAATAGTGCAACTGAGCATTTGCCCACCAGAAAATGCCATTTCATCAAAATCGAAACTTTCACAGAGAATTTGTCAATTTTGATTAAATTTAATTTAGAAAAAAATCAAAATAAAGCTTTTTGACAATGTCAAAATGGGATGTTTTGACATAGACTGTTTTCCCTTTTTTTTTAAATGACTATTTTGTTTTTTCTAATATAAAATAAAATAATTTCATGTTGAAATTTCTTTTATATTATATTTTTAAATGTTAAAAGTTGAGATAGAAACAAAATGTTTTATTTTATCTGCATGAAAAACTTTAATGGATCCAAAATGATTTTTTAAATTTCATTGTCAGGAAATTTTGAAATTTGACAGCTCGTTCTGATTCAGAACAAAACCAAGTTTTAAAATCATGGCATTTCCCATGCATAACAAAACATAATTTTTAAAAGGGCTTCAGCGGTGATCCCAGCAATTACAGGCCTGTAAGCCTGACTTCGGTACCGGGCAAACTGGTTGAAACTATAATAACGAACAATATTGTCAGACATATAGATGAACATAATTTGTTGAGGAAGAGTCAACATGGTTTTAGTAAAGGGAAATCATGCCTCACCAATCTACTAGAATACTTTGAGGGGGTCAACAAGCATGTGGACCAAGGGGATCCAGTGGATATAGTGTACTTAGATTTTCAGAAAGCCTTTGACAAGGTCCCTCACCAAAGGCTCTTACGCAAAGTAAGCTGCCACAGGATAAGACGGAAGATCCTCTCATGGACTGGTAACTGGTTAAAAGATAGGAAACAAAGGGTAGGAATAAATGGCCAGTTTTCAGAATGGAGAGAGGTAAATGGTGGTGTCCCCCAGGGGTCTGTTCTGGGACCAGTCCTATTCAACATATTCATAAATGATCTGGAATAACGGGTAAACAGTAGATGGAAAAAATTGCAGATGATACAAAATTACTAAAGATAGATAAGACCCAGGCAGACTGCAAAGAGCTACAAAAGGATCTCTCAAAACTGGGTGACTGGGCAACAAAATGGCAGATAAAATGTAATGTTGATAAATGCAAAGTAATGCACATTGGAAAGCATAATCCCAACTATACATATAAAATGATGGGGTCTAAATTAGCTGTTACCACTCAAGAAAGAGATCTTGGAGTCATTGTGGATAGTTCTCTGAAAACATCCACTCAATGTGCAGTGGCAGTCAAAAAGCTAACAGAATGCTGGGAATAATTAAGAGAGGGATAGATAATAGGACAGAAAATGTTGCCTCTATATAAATCCATGGTACGCCCCCATCTTGAATACTGTGTGCAGATGTGGTGGTCCCATCTCAAAAAAGATATATTGGAATTGGAAAAGGTTCCGAAAAGGGCAACAAAAATTATTAGGAGTATGAAACGGCTTCCATATGAGGAGAGATTAATAAAACTGGGACTTTTCAGCTTGGAAATGAGACGGCTCAGGGGAGATATGATTGAGGTCTATAAAATCATGACTGATGTAGAGAAGTGGATAAGGAAGTGTTGCTTACTACTTCTCATAACACAAGGACTAAGGGTCACCAAATGAAATTAATAGGCAGTAGGTTTAAAACAAATAAAAGGAAATATTTCTTTACACAACGCACAGTCAACCTGTGGAACTCCTTGCCAGAGGATGTTGTGAAGGCCAAGACCAAAAAAGGACTAGATAAATTCATGGAGGATAGGTCCATCAATGACTATTAGCCAGGATGGGCAGGAATGGTGTCCCTAGCCTCTGTTTGCCAGAAGCTGGGAATGAGCAACAGGGGATGAATCACTTGATGATTACCTGTTCTGTTCATTCCCTCTGGGGCACCTGGCACTGGCCACTGTCGGAAGACAGGATACTGGGCTAGATGGACTTTTTTCAACCTTTTTTCACTTGCGAATCCCTAAAAATTTTGAATGGAGGTGCAGACCCTTTGGGAAATCTTAGACATAGTCTGCGGGGTCCACGGACCACAGATTGAAAACCACTGGCCTACAGTACTGGCAACCAGGTAGACAAACAGTCAAAGTGTCCACAGTGTTGCTGACACTTGGGATTTAGTTGTGAGTCTAGCAATATTTGGTGCTTTTCTTGAAATCCCAGATCCTGGAGTCGGGATCTCGACTTTCATTTTAAAAAAAGCAAGTTACTAGCTCTCCTGGTTGCAGAGAGATGCTGGGAAACACAACCTCAGGTGCCGCCCCTGGAATTGTGCCGCCCCAAGCACGTGCTTGGTTTGCTGGTGCCTAGAGCCGGTCCTGCCAACTGGTGGTCTATTGAAATCTCATGATTTTTAAGCCAATCTCATCAGTTTGTTGGGGCTGAAGCAGAGCTTTGAAGGCTCAGGATTGGCTCACCTGCTTCACCTGCGTGGCGTAACAGATGCAACACAGTGTCCCAAGGAGCAGCGAGCAGGCAGCTAGCCACATGGCTGAGTCAGATAAAAGCAAGACTGGAAAGAGTTTATGAGGAATCTGTCTGTAGCTGCCCCAGGCCATGGCCTGTTGGTTCGGTGCAGCATACTCCTCCAGCATGTGTATTTGTAATGCCTGAGTGCCACCCCACTGCCTGCTTGCTGCGTCAGTGTGCATGCCTGTTCCGCTGGCTAACAACGTTTGGTTTGGTTTCAGAAGACAGGAAGCTCTTTGTGGGGATGCTGGGGAAGCAGCAGAGCGAAGACGATGTCAGGCGGCTGTTTGAACCCTTTGGCCAGATCGAAGAGTGCACCATCCTCAGAGGGCCCGACGGAGCCAGCAAAGGTGGGAGATGATCAGGCCCCACCTGAGAGCTGGACAAACACTGCGACCCAGTGCCCACTCAAACTGCCATGTGACTTGGCTTTGCCCAGGCTCACAACCCCCTTTGTGCCGGCTCCTTTCCGTTAGTGTTTGTGCATAGGGACAGAGCATGGCCATCATCCAGGCACAAGCCTTTGCACCAGAAGTGACACGGTTGTTATGGGATGGAACACAACTGTGTCTGAGATACTCCAGGCACCCTCAAGGGGACACATTGCTGATCACTTTTTGGGATGGAGGTGCCCCCCTCAGCTCCAGCCTCCACTCCCCCAGCCAGCCAGCGCTCCCCTCTCAGCTCCAGCCTTTTCCCTAGCCAGCCAGCGCACCCCCCTCAGCTCCAGTCTCCTCCCCGGCCTGCCAGCGCTCCCCCTCAGCTCCAGCCTTCTCCCTAGTCAGCCAATGCGCCCCCCTCAGCTCCAGCCTTCTCTCTAGGCAGCCAGCACTCCCCACTCAGCTCCAGCCTTCTCCCTAGCCAGCAAGCACGCCCCCCTCAGCTCCAGCCTCCTCCCCGGCCAGCCAGCGCTCCCTCCTCAGCTCCAGCCTCCACTCCCCGGCCAGCCAGCACTCCCCCCTCAGCTCCAGCCTCCACTCCCTGGCCAGCCAGCGCACCCCCCTCAGATCCAGCCTCCTCCCCGGCCATCCAGCACACACCCCTCAGATCCAGTCCCCACCCAGTGCATTGGGAGCTTTTATCTTGTGCTGATTGCCACTCCCAGCTAGTACTTTCCTGCTGACTCCAGCCCAGATTATAGCTCTCTGCTCAGCCCTGGCCTCCACGTCCAGTCAGTGCATGAAGGTCCACTCCATCCCCCCCCGATGCGGGTCCGGGTAGCTCCATCCCCAGCAGGGTACTGCTCTCACCTCCATCCTCAGACACCGGGCAGGGGAGCAAAGTACCCAGCTTCCCTGTATAACACATGCTCCAGCTCAGCTTGTGCTGCTTGTCCAAGGCTGTTAAGCAATAACATTACTTTGCACGTACACAGCACCGTCCACCTGAGGATCTCAAAGCACTTTACATACTTGGGTGACTCTGACCATCCCCACTTTGCGGACAGAATAACTGCCACAGGGACGTGCCCAAAAGGATGCAGCAAGTCCGTGCATAGCTGGGGCAAGAACCCTGGACTCCCAGGGCTGTGTTCTACCCACTAGGCAATGTTGCCTCTCCTGAATGTCCTGGGCAGGTGCGACTATGCAGGGCAGGCAGAGCCTCCTGCCAGCATGTGTTATAGCCATGAGCACACATCTCTGCAATGTTCGCCTTGCTGTAGCTCCCAAACTTAACGCTTGTTCTTTTCTCCACCTAGGATGTGCCTTTGTAAAATACGGGAGCCATGGGGAGGCCCAGGCAGCCATCAACAGCCTGCACGGCAGCCAGACCATGCCGGTAAATGCTAGGGCTGAGTCAGGAAAGAGAAATAGGCTCCGTTTTCTCTTCCATTGCATGGGCCAGATAACTGGGAGCTGCACCTGGTACTGCAAGAAGAGAAAGCTATGGTCACAGAATAGTCCACATGCTCTGTTATCCCCAGGCATCTGCACCGGATTGACTGGGCTTGTACCAGTGTAATAGAGGAGAACGTGGCCCAGTGATTCACTGTCCATCTCTAGCTTAAACCAGTTCACCTGAGGCTTAAATTCCATCCCAACTGCCCTTGTTTGGATCAGCCCCTGAGACTCCTCCTCAGAGCAGGTGGTTTTACACATGCACACTGAGTGGTGTAAGGGAAGTCCATTGGGTCAATGAGCTCGAATCCCCAAATATCCTCGTCTCTGAGTGCAGCTAACAGACTCCGGGAATCACGGAGATTAGCGACCAGTGGTGCCAAATCAGGGGGTGTGGTGGGGACAACTCCTCCCCCCCATTTTTGCACTTGCTCCAAGTTCTATAGGAGCTGGGAGGGGCCCTGGCCTGACCACTTTTAAGCAATGGTCCCATATTCAATCAGTACAGCCAGTACTGGAGTGGCCAGGAACATCGCTCTAACTGCGTGCTTGCAATGCCACTGGAATTTGACCTGGCTGCCCCTCCATACAGAGTGGCAGTGAGGGCTGGCTGGGCCAAACATCCTTGCGACCTGGCGCACTGGGAGTTTGTTCCTGTCCAGCAAAGTGTGGGGCGGTGTCCACTGAGAACTTGACTTCTGACAGCACTGGGTGGGTAAGAGAAGGGGAGATTTACAGGGGGAGGAGCAGGGACCAGAACGGGGTCCTGGCTGTGGGGAGGACGTGAATTTGCCCCTCCCCAAGAAACATCTGAGTTGATGCCACTGGTAGAGATGGAAAAGGCCTGCGTGGCCCCAGCTCGTCCAAACCCTTTTTGCTAATGCAGGATTGCTCCCAGTAGCACAGTCACAATGTAGGCAGGTGCTATGGGGGGTTCCCCCACACCACTTTGTTAATGCACCTTAATCCTGAGCTCCAGCCCCCTGCTCTTCTACTCCTGTATCCCCCCATCCCTATACAAACATACAGCTTTGCCAGATGATCTATGTCTTAATCTGCAGCACCCCCTGCTGTTCTCATCCTGGCACCCCTCCCAGCTCTACCAGTGTCCCTCAGTCCTGAGCTGGAGTGCTCCCTGTCCTTCCAGCCCTGGACTTCTCCTAAGCAGAGACTGTGAGTGGGGCGGTGATTTCGTGACCTGGAAACAAAGCTGCTAGGAACCAGACCGAGCCCAGCAGCCCTCACCTTTGGCCTGAGGCAGGATTTGAAACCAGGTTTTGAGAGGGGAAAGGCAGTTAGAGCCGTGGCTCCTTCGTGTCACTGAATCCAGAGAAAGGGTTTGCTGCTAAGCTGGGACATTCCCGTGTGCACACTTTGCCCGTTGCGTGCTGCTGTCGCAGCTGGCATTTGGCACAACATCACGTTCCCTCTTCTATTTCACTACCGCTCTCATCTCTCACTGACACCCACACCTCTGCATCTCAGTGCCCTTGGCACTGCTGTAAAATCGCCTCCTCAGGAGGCACTCAGAGGGGTATAGAAATGGATACGCCTACTGGCCATGCTCTCTTCCCCTCCCCCACCCATGCATAGTGTTGTCTCCTTAATCCAATCACCAGCTAATCTGATTCTCCATTTAATTTGATCAAAATCTCAGGGATCAAACAGTTTCTTGTAAAAATAACACCAGGCCAGTCCTTTATTTTGATTAGCACAGAGCTCTCTAGGCAGGTGTTAGGGGGTTAATTCAATCACTGGCTAGAGAAAGTTACCATTTAATTAACAATGAAGGTCAACATTCTGAATGGGAGAGGAAGGAAACAGAGTCCAGGGAAAAGCAATGAGTATAAAAGACGACTGCAATTAAACATTGCATTGATCAGACACTACTATGGAAAAGCTGGGCCAAATTCTTCCCTGGTGATTTAGCTGGGAATTGGTCCTGCTTTGAGCAGGGGGTTGGACTAGATGACCTCTTGAGGTCCCTTCCAACTCTGATATTCTATGATTCTATGATTCTATGGTGGGACTGCACAGAAGTCAGTGGAATCACCCTCAGGGGCGGCTCTATTTTTTTGCCGCCCCAAGCACGGTAGTCAGGCGGCCTTCGGCGGCACACCTGCGGGCGGTCCGCTGGTCACGTGGATTCGGCGGCGTTTCTGCGGGTGATCTGCCGGTCCCGCGCTTTCGGCGTACCCGCCACCGAATTGCCGCCGAAGCCATGGGACCGGCCGAAGGCTGCTTGACTGCCACCCTCACGGCGACCGGCACACTGCCCCCCATGGCTTGCTGTGCTGGTGCCTGGAGCTGCCCCTGATCACAATGGACATGAATTAGCACTGTCACCTGCAGGATAGGCTGAGAGATGCAATCTGGCACTCATAAAATATACAAGATCAGTCACTCACATAAATCAGATGATGGGATCATACCACAGAGAAATGAGAGGAAGTCTCCCTCTCCACATGATCCCCCAAGCCTGACCTCAACTAAGGTGGCTATATATTCAGACTCAGACACTTTTGTGGCAACCTGTTTTAGGGCCACAAAGTATTCCTACAAAACCCCAAAGTCCACTTAGTTTTAATGTGTGCCAGCTTCTGACTCAACAGCAACATATTCATGTTTCTCAGAGTGGAGGATTTTTTCTACTAACCTAGCATTTATCATGAAATGCTGGACAAGTGTCATTAATGTTCACTCTGAGCAAAACAGCAGCTTGGAAAGTGTCTGTGATCATTCCACTTCTCCCTTCACTCCAAACACTGTTCATCACTCTGAACACTCATTCCCCTGGACTGTTGGTTCCTGGTAAATGCAGAGCAAATCCTACTTGGTACAACACTACAACAAGAACAGATATTTTATTTGGACAGGTGCAATGAAAATCTGGGACATTCCAGCTATCCTGAAAGACATTCCAGGGACATAATATAAAAAAATCCAGGCCTATGCAGGATGGTGAAACCAAGACATACGGGTCAGATCCACAGCTGGTGTAAATTGGCATAGCTCTGTTGACTTCAGTGGCGCTCTGCTGATTTACTCCAGCCTAGGTTCTCCCTACCCCGATCACTAACACAGAAGTTGCAGGTAGCAAGAAGGAGAGAGTGATCAGGAGGGGTTAATAATGGAGAATAAAGAAATCTGCCAGGTGCCATCAGAAAGGTTGTGCTCCAGATTCATCACCTATATTTATCGTCCCCTCTAGGGCAGTGGTTCTCAAACTAGGGCTGCTGCTTGTTCAGGGAAAGCCCCTGGCGGGCTGGGCCGGTTTGTTTACCGGCCGCGTCCGCAGGTTTGGCCAATCGCGGCTCCCACTGGCTGCGGTTCACCGCTCCAGGCCAATGGGGGCTGCAGGAAACAGCACGGGCCGAGGGACATGCTGGCTGCCCTTCCTGCAGCCCCCATTGGCCTGGAGCGGCGAACCGCGGCCAGTGGGAGCCGTGATTGGCCGAACCTGCGGACGCGGCAGGTAAACAAATCGGCCCGGCCCGCCAGAGGCTTTCCCTGAACAAGCGGCGGCCCTAGTTTGAGAACCACTGCTGTAGGGCATACCTAGCTGTCTGCTGCCAATGCTCACGTGCAAAAGTGATGCAGCCATGCTTTCTGTTTCCCCTAGGGAGCCTCCTCCAGCCTGGTGGTGAAGTTTGCAGACACAGACAAGGAAAGGACTTTGAGGCGGATGCATCAGATGGCAGGACAACTGGGAATCTTCAACCCGATGACCATCCAGTTTGGAGCATATGGGGCATATACGCAAGCGGTAGGAAATGCTGCCTGATCAGATGGGGTGGGGGGGTGAATCCTTTATCGCAGATGTGGGGCACCGCACCTGGGTGTCCTTCAAAGAACTGATATGGATACTTAGTGTGTACTGCAGATGCCCTAGCTCAATGGTGCCCATAATGCATTCTTAGCAGTAGGGTGTCCATAAAGGCCCAGCTATTAGACACTAATGTCCAGTGCATGTGGGAACTGGTATGCCCACTGCTTTGGAAGAGCTATACCACACAGTGAGACCACCACTCAACGCCTCCAACTGTGGCTAGCCCTTTCTCCCCACCACAAAGCAGTGGGGCTCCAGGAGCAGACACACCCACTTCCCTTAAATTCATCAGGCTGGAGGCCAAAAAAACTTAACTAGTGGCTTATTGTACAAGAATTTCCTCTGTTTTTTGTGGCTACTGTCTTAAGTGGCATATACAGGACTAGGTGTGTGTTAGACATACCAAATTACCGCCCCCCCCCCCCATTTGAAATCATATCCGAAATGTATTGCAATATGCACCAATCAAAACTGACAAATTCACATTCAAGCCAAAACCAACCCCTCAATTTAACCCGTCATGCATTGCTTTTGCACCGCGCATGCTTTTAAAGTGTCCCACTGTTGAAGGCACCTTGCAATACACAGAAGCAGTGAGTCTCTCTCTCTCAAAAACTGCCGTGCAGTTTCATACAATTTATCATCATGGCTTGGTAGATCTTTGTTGACGAGAGGCCCAGGTCTGGACTAGCAGGTCACACTGAGGTGCCAGGGAAGGATGCATTCACCCCACAACTGCTGTCAGTCTCTCACTTTCATAACCATTGAACGTACTCAGTCAATGAGAGCCTAGGAGACAGTGTTGAAGTGGAACAGAGCAGGACACAATATGTCATAATGCACTTTTTATTCCAAAGGGCTAGAGGCAGGAATCACTGGGCGCGGGTGGAATTCTCTGGATTGTATTTTGCAGGAGATCAGACCAGATGAGAATGATCTGTTCAGGCCTTAATATCTGTGAATCTGTGCTTGGCAAAGCAATGATTTGGATAATGACAATGCAGTGACTGGCAGTAAGCACTCTTCAATAGGTCACATGCTGCCTTAGACCTCTCTGGCCAAGGGAGGGATGCTGGCACAATGCTTTTCTGAACATGCTCTTATTTCAGTCTTCAAAGCCACTAGAGATAGCTAGAAAATAGGACCTCGGTGTTCTCTGTTAACTGAAGGCTGCCATGCAGCAGCAGCCTCTGGGTACCCTCAGCACTGCAGACTAGTGCAGGTATTTGGTATGATTCCAAGTCCTGTTGTGGTGGCTGAATCCATTTCTTCCTGGCCCAGAGAGAAGAGTGCTGCTAACAGAACTGGGCAGACCAAAAGGAGAACATACAATTCGCTCACTCTCTGCTGTGCAGTATTTTCTCGCACACCATTAAACACCCAAAGAAACAGGCCAGGGAAGAGACAGACTCAGCCCAAAATCCCCAGATCCAAAACCTCCCTGAAGTGTGAGCCAGTTTAGAACTGGAGCTGCAGCCAGACGTCCCTGGCGAACCCATTCCTCCTCCTGGAACTGAGGGAAAGATGTCAGGAACTCAGGCTCACCTCTGCTTATCATTCCACACACAACTCGGCTGTAGTAGGCCACAGTGAAGAAAGTTACACAGGAAGGTGTGACAGGCTCCTGGATACAGAGAAAAGCTAATTTACAATTCCCTTCCTTCTCCCCTTCTTCCGCTTCCTTTCTCTTTCCTTTCTTCATTTTCTTTTTGTCCTTCCATCTTTCTTTCTTTTTCTTTTTCTTTTGCTTCTTCCCTCTTTCCTTCTTTCTTTCCTTAAGATAATGCAGCAGCAGGCAGCCCTGATGGCTGCAGCACAAGGGACCTGCCTGAACCCCATGGCAGCCATCGCCGCAGCCCAAATGCAGCAGATGGCGGCCTTTAACGTCAGCGGACTAGTTGCTGCTCCTATGACCCCCTCATCAGGTATTTGTCACCCCACCCTGCTCAGTCTCTCTGCGGTGGGTTTCCAGATCCTGTTATGGCAGCCAGATAGCACCTGTCTGGTGTAAAACATGGGGTGGATCCTCTTGGAACTAGGAAGCCTCCGTCAGGCATGCAGCGGGGACTCACAATCTCCTTTCTTAACAAACTTTGCCCACATGATGATTTGTTTAAAGCAAACAAGCCATCAATCACTGTCCACCTACAAGCTCCCAGATCCTCCCATGTGGGCCCCTAAATCCCCCCTCATCTCCCCAAATGACCCAGGGCTAAAGCTCTCATTCTTTCTCCCCTGCACCCCCTTCTCTTTGGGGGTTAGGTACAAGCACACCTCCAGGGATCAGCACAGCGCCCGTCCCCAGCATAGCCACGCCCATTGGGGTGAATGGGTTCAGCCCCCTCCCACCACAGACCAATGGGCAGCCAGCATCCGAGACCATTTACACCAATGGAATCCATCCGTACCCAGGTAGGTCCTGGGAAAGGAAGAGGGGAGGAGCCTGGGAATGTTCTGCCAACACTCTTGCTGTTGGGCTGGCTTGTGCCTGGCAGTTGAAGGAGAGATGGGTGGTGGGGCGTGCACCATGCAGGTGCACAAACGTTCCCCCACCCTTGTGTCAGCTACACAGGGCAGGGCCACCTCTGCAGCCCTTGTGCTCACCTGAGCACAGAGATACCTGAGGCCTAACGCCCCTGTCAAGAGTGGCAGGAAGGAATTGGGGCCATGCCCTCTCTCTGCCCCTCCCCACCCGCCACTGCTGTGGGGTGCAGCGGCTATGCCCAGAAGGAACTTGGTGAGTCATTGTACCCCCCTGAGTCACAGAGCTCCCTGCTAGAGCAAAGCAGCGCCATGCCACCCTGGACACGGCACGGTGCCTGAATGGCCCCACATGGCTCTAAAGGAGCAAAGAGAAAAGCCGAGTGAGCACCCCTAGATCGCTGCTTTCAAACAGGCTTAGGTGAGGAGTGGGGATATGCTGGATGGCTCAGGCAATTGGTGGTGGGATACCAGGTCTTTCAGCTCCAGCTCACCAGCTCCTATCCTTCCGGGGTCAGGAAGGACCCAAAACAGTACCCATTGTGTGTCCGCTCAGAGAGGAAATGCCATGCAGCATGCTACTAACTAATGGGACACAGGGCTCTCGGGAAGGCTGCCATGCTGGCAGGAGAGCGGTAGATAGTTCATTTAGGGCAGGAACCACATCCAGACCTTGGGGTCTTTGCTGGTTGATTTGCTGCGTCCTGGCACTCAGCGGCATAGAGAGGAGTGTTCACTGTCAGAGCTGGGCAGGAATTATTCAGTGACATGTTCTATCTATTAGTCTAAATCAACCTTTGCAGAGATGGGTTGGCTTTGGCAAAATTCCCATTTTGAAAAAAAAATAGGAAGAACATTATGGAATTGTCAAAAATGTCCTATTTCAACGTTTCCTCGGTGAAAAGTTCTGGTTTTCAGTTCCAAACGACATCAATGTACAATTGGTTTGTATTTCAATTTAAAAGGTCAACATTGAAATGGAATGGTTTGGAATGATCAAAACGGGTCATTTTGACTAATCCCAAATGACTTGTTTTTTTCAGATTTTCAGTTCGTGCCAGTTTTTGAGAGTTTTGACTGTTTATCCTGATTCGAGATTGAAAGTAACACTGAAAGCTCAAAACTTTTTGCTGAACAAGAAGACCATTTCCCACCCAGCTCTGTTCACTTTGTTCTCTGTCACGATTCACTAGAATATGGCTTCCAGATGCTAGCTGTCCTCTAACCTGAACCTGGACACTCTCCAATTTCCTAATAAAAACCTCCTTCGCTCAGAAAAGGGCCTGATCCTGGAGGGCGCTAAGAACCCTCCACTCCCATTAAAATTACTGAGCATGGAGAGCACTTGGCGCCTCAGAAGATCAGGCATAAATGTTTCAGAGGGAGCATTCGGCATCCCCTAGTTTCTGAGCAATTAACAATGATCAGGAGTGTGTCTATTACTTTGTTTCAGTACACTACAGATTGCTTTGCTGAGCTGTGGGAGGGGACGGGGACAAAAAGCCAACAGGAAGATGATAGGAGGACAAATGATCTGCTGCATCTCTGAGCGATTCCAGCTGGCTGCTCCTGCTGCAAAACCTGTTTCTCCTCTGGTTTATCTTGCTTACTCTTTCTTCCTTCTCCCTTCTTTTCTCTTCCCAGCTCAAAGTCCCACTGTGGCAGATCCCCTCCAACAAGCCTACGCAGGCATGCAGCACTATGCAGGTCTCAAACTTTGCTTTGCAATTCTCCCTCTGTCTCTGCCTTGCTCTCTTTCTCTGTTTCTTGGTTTGTTTTTGTTGCCTTATGGCTTTTAAGTGAAATGACCATGAAAGGAACTGCATGGGGGGGAGACACTGAGGGAGGAAAAGGGGACACTTAGCAAGATCTTGCAACTGCATGTTTCGGTGAATGTCTCTTCTTACTTGCAACCATGGAAAGCAATGGATTCCCCATCACTTGGCGTCTGTAAGTCAACATGGGATCATTTCCTAAAAGACATACAACCATAGGTTGTTGGGATCAGTGCAGGAATCACTGCGTGAAACTCTCTAGCCTTATTATGCAGGAGGTCAGACTAGATCAGTGTTTTTCAAACTGGGAGTCCTGACCCAAAAGGGGGTCACAAGACTATTGTTGGTGAGGGGGCGTTGCGAGAGCAGTGGCAGCTGCTGGCAAGGCACCCAGCTCTGAAGGCAGTGCCGCTGCCAGCAGCAGCAGAGAAGTAAGGGTGACATGGTGTGGGGGGGGCATCACTTTTTTGGGGGGTCGTCACAGCCTGAAATATTTTCAAAGGGGGTCCCAGCAAAAAAAGTTTGAGAACCCCTAGACTAGATGATAGCAATGATCCTTTCTGGCTTTAAAATATGTGCAGTAAAGGTCAGGAAGCTGAGAATGGAAAAGGCTTGCAAAGACCCCAGAAAAGAGCAGAGGTGAGACCCCGATCTTTCTGCTTGTTCTTGAAAGAGCGCCATCCCCAGCAATGAAGCCAGGAAATAGTTCTGAGCTCATTTACATGGTGCGCGCATTTACATGGCCTTACCCCAGGACGCTGACTAATTTAAGGTATTAGTGGGTAGGATGAAAGTTTTAGTGCAAATAAGCCTGAGATAATTCAGCAGAGAGAGGCTCACTCACAGCACAGATATACGTTAAGGGAGTGCTAGGGAGGAAGCAGCCTAAGAGCGTTAGAGAGATGTGGGGTAATGGTGGAGAACCAGTTCAGTGCCGACTGCGAGTCAGTTGGGTTGAAGATCAGGTCAGTACAGTTCTAGTAGGGAGTCTGCTGAGAGATCACTTGAAAGAAAGCAGAGGTTCTAATTAGCTTTGCGAGGATTCTGGTTTTATTTGTTGTTGATGCTATCAAAGAGGTTTTTTCCTGAAAGGTTTTTTGGGGTTTGTTTTTTCTTTTCTCAGCTTAAATTTTGTACTAGCAGGAAATTTTAAAAAAACAGATATTTATAGTTGTATTGTGTTCAAAATATGAGGACTGTAGGAAATGGGAATCTAACAGACTGAGAAATAAAATCATAATGTAAGATCAGCATGGACTTCCATAATTTAATTAGGGATGGTTGAAAATTTTCCATTGAAATTGTTTTTTGACAGAAAACTGGGGTTTTGACTAGATGG